ATCACCACTTAATCTCCTCTAATCTTTCCTCATAGCTGAGCTCCTCCATGCCTCTTATCAGTTTAGTTGCCCTTCTGTACTTTCTCCAGTTCCCCAATGTTCTTTTTGTGAATTGTTGCCCAAAATTGAACTGCATATTCTAGATGAGGTATTATTAATGATTTGTACACGGGTAAAATTATATCTCTCTCTGAAGTCTATACCTCTTAATACAAGAGAGGATTTTGCTCGCTTTAGAAATCGCAGCTTGGCATTACATGTCATTATTACGCTTGTGATCTACCAGAACTCCCAGATCCTTCATCATTGATTCCCCCAGTTGTACTCCCCCTAGTATGTATGATGCATGCATATTCTTATCCCCCAAGTGCATAACCTTACATTTATCAACATTAAACCTCATTTGCCACATAGTTGTCCAATTAAACAGTGCATTGAGGTTGGCTTGTAAATTGGAGACATCCTGTAAGGACGTTATTCTACTGCACAGCTTGGTGTCATCTGCAAAGATTGAAACTTTATTTTCAGTCCCAGACCCTAGATCATTTATAAATGTATTAAAATGATTAATGATTTGGACAGGGGTAGAATGATCTCTCTCTCTCTCTCTCTCTCTCTCTCTCTCTCTCTCTCTCTGCAGTCTATACCTCTGGAGTCTATACCTCTTAACACAAGAGATGATTTTGCTTGCTTTAGAAACTGCAACTTGGCATTGCATGCCATTATTAACCAATTCAATACCGGGCAATTTTACACCTTCCTGCCCAGGCCAGTTTTCAGGTTTCAGCGCTCTCACACTTTGAATGACAATTGCACGGTCATACAACATTGTACCCAAACAAAAAATTTTATCATTTTCTTCACACAACTAGAGCTTTCTTTTAGTGGTATTTAATCACCACTGGGGTTTTTATTTTTTTGCTAAATTAACAAAAAAAGACCAAAAAGTTTGAAAAAAAAAAAGTTTTTCTTTGTTTGTTATAAAAGTTTGCAAATAAATAATTGTTCTTCATAAATTTAGGCTAGATTTAGATGTATTCTGCTACATGTCTTTGGTGAAATAAACCAAATTAGGATGTATCTTTTAGTTTGTAGGAAAGTTATAGAGTTCACAAACTATGGTATAGATCTGCATATTGATCAAATCCTGAAGTAGTGACAGCCAATCTAATTTCTTGAGGTCCAAGAATGTCAGAACAGTACAGATATCCCCCAAATGACCCTTTTTGCAAAGTAGACAGTCCGACGTACTTCATAAGAGGCATGTGAGTTTTTTGAAGTTGTATTTTTTTTGTCATAATTTTTCGGAAAATGAAAAAATTAAAAAAATTAGTTTCACTATTTTTTTTTTTACATATTGTCACCAGTGCAGTACAGCATCATCATATAACTGGCATGGCGGTGATCAGGGACACTGACTGGTGACAGTATGAAAAAAAAAAAATTATTATATTTTTTTTTTTATTTTTTTATTAACATTTTTTTTCTTTTTTTTAAGATTTTTTTTTCATATTTCACTATTACCATAGTAACATTGTACTACTTTGGGGAAGTGATCAGTATTTTTTTTTTTTTTTTTTACACAATTTGCTTATAGCAAAGAATTACTCTGCTATAAGCAAGCATTTACCTGAATGACATCGATTCATTCAGGGGGTTTTTTTTTTTGTGCTTAGCTGTGATTTGGCCACAGCTAATCACATGGCCTGTGCATGTGATTAGCTGTGACCATTCACAGCTAGGCAGTAGTATACAATGGATGGCATGAATGAAGCCATCCATTGTTTACAACTGTCATGTGACCTGCTGTGATTGGTCACAGCAGGTCACATGGTACCAGTAACGGGGCCGATACTCAGATCTGTCATCGGCCGTGTCCAAGGTACACGGCCGGTGACAGATCGCGCCGCTCTGCAGGAGCGCAATGTGCGCATGTGCGGGAGGACGCCATATGGCGTCCACCAGGAACGCTGATGACATTTGCCGCCCGCCATTCGCCACAGGGCGGGCGGCAAATGGTTAAGGCTGTGATCTACCAGAACTCCCAGATCCTTCACCATTGATTCACCCAGTTGTACTCCCCCTAGTACAGGGTGTTCTCAACTCCAGTCCTCATGGCCCCCCAACAGGTCATGTTTCAGGATTTCCCTCAGATGAAACAGCTGTGGTAATTACTAAGGCAGTGAAACTGATCAAATCACCTGTGCAAAAATAATGGAAATCCTGAAAACATGACCTGTTGGAGGGTCCATGAGGACTGGAGTTGAGAAACACTGCCCTAGTATGTATGATGCATGCATATTCTTAGCCCCCAAGTGCATAATCTTACATTTATCAACATTAAACCTCATTTGCCACATAGTTGCCCAATTAGACAGTGCATTGAGGTCGGCTTGTAAGTTGGAGACATCCTGTAAGGACGGTATTCCACTGCACTGCACAGCTTGGTGTCATCTGCAAAGACGGAAATGGTATTTGTAATCCCAGACCCTATATCGTTTATAAATATATTAAAAAGTAAGGGTCCCAACACTGAACCTTGGAGTACACCACTAACAACTCTATACCATTCAGAGTATGAAGCATTAACCACTACTCTCTGAATACGATCTTTTAGCCAATTTTCTAATCATTTACATATGGATTTTTCCAAATCCGTAGACTTTACCTTACATATTAGCCATGTGTGGGGAACTGTGTCAAGCGCTTTTGCAATGATTCTTCCTCTACCGCCACCCTCAGATTTGCTTGACTTCTGTCTTTCATGAATCCATGCTGTCTGTTGCTTAAAATATTTTTTTCCAACAAGAACTTATCTATGTGGTCTTTTATTAAACTCTCCAGTATCTTCCTAACTACAGAAGTTAAACTAACAGGTCTATGGTTACTTGGTAAAGATTTTGACCCCTTTTTAAATATTGGCACCACATTGGCCTTACGCCAATCCATTGGTACTATGCCAGTCATTAAAGAGTCCCTAAAAATTAGAAACAATGGCTTTGAAATGACAGAGCTCAATTCTTTAAGGAACCGTGGGTGTATGCCACCCGGTCCAGGTGCTTTATTAGTCTTTATTCTGTCTACATATTTCTGGATCATATCAATTGTGAGCCAATGTGGATCATTTGGAGCTGTGTCAATATCATGCCCATTATGAACAAGTGCTCCTCCATGCTCCTTTGTATACACAGAGCTGAAGAAGGTATTTAATAAAATTTGCCTTCTCTTTGTCCCCAGTCACCCACTCTAGATTATTTTGTAAAAGGGCCCACATGCTCGGACCCAACTTTTTTAATATTAATATATTTGAAAATTTTTTGGAGTTTGTCCTGCTATCTTCTGGAATCTGTCGTTCGTTTTCAATTATTGCGGCCTTTATTTCCTATTTGCATATTCTGTTATATTCTTTGTAATGTTTAAATAATGATAGCGTTCCTTCATTTTTATATTTAATAAAAGCTCTTTTCTTATTATTATTTATAGCTTTTTTATTTTGGCCGTAAGCCACATAGGTTTGATTTTTAGCCTTTTAAACTTGTTGCTCAAGGGAATATATTTTGCAGTGTGTTAACAGTCTTTTTGAAGAACTCCCATTTTTCTGTGTTGTGTTCATCGTTGCCAATATTCCCTACCAGTCTAAGTCTTGGAGAGCAGCTCTCAGCCTTGGAAAATTAGCGCTGTTAAAGCTGAGCGTTTTCATTTTTCCCATGTGCTTGATGTTTACAGCTAACAATAAATAAAATCATGTTATGGTCACTGCTACCCAAATGTTCTTTTATATGGACATTTGTATTAAACTCTGCATGGTTTGAGATTACCAAGTCCAGCAGAGTATCATTCCTAGTTGAGCCCTCTATGAACTGTACCATACAGTGAAGGAAATAAGTATTTGATCCCCTGCTGATTTTGAAAGTTTGCCCACTCACAAAGAAATGATCAGCCTAAAAAAATCGAATGGTAGGTGTATTGTAACACTGAGAGACAGAATAGCAACAACAAATTCAGGAGGAATGCATGGCTAACAAATTATGCACTGATTTGCATGTTCATGAGAGAAATAAGTATTTGATCCCCTTCTCAAAAACATGACTTAGTACTTGGTGGCAAATCCCTTGTTGGCAATCACAGAGGTCAGACATTTTCTGTAGTTTGCCACCAGATTTGCACACATCTCAGGAGGGATTTTGGCCCACTCCTCTTGGCAGATCCTCTCCAAGTCATTAAAGTTTGGAGGCTGACGTTTGGCAACTCAAACTTTCAGCTCCCTCTACAGATTTCAATCGAATTAAGGTATGGAAACTGACTAGGCCACTCCAGGACCTTAATGTGCTTCTCCTTGAGCTACTCCTTTGTTGCCTTGGCCGTGTGTTTTGGGTCATTGTCATGCTGGAACACCCATCCATGACCCATTTTCAATGCCCTGGCTGAGGGAAGAAGGTTCTCACCCAAGATTTGACAGTACATTGTCCCGTTCATCGTCCCTTTGATGCAGTGCAGTTGTCCTGTCCCCATAGCAGAAAACACCCCCAAAGCAGAATGTTTCCACCACCATGTTTGACAGTTGGGATGGAGTTCTTGGGGTCATAGGCAGCATTCCTCCTCCTCCAAATACGGCGGGACTTGAGTTGATGCCATAGAGCTCAATTTTGGTCTCATTTGACCACAACACTTTCAACCAGTCCTCTTGTCAGGAATCTAGGAATGACCAGAAAGGTGTGGACTGACATAGGGAAATGCCGGCTTCAGGTATAGTATAATAATACAGTTTATTATTAGCCACCCAGATATATATATAAACGCACAGTGAGCAAACCAACCTTCCTGATATATATAAATGCACAGTGAGCAAACCAACCTTCCACTAATCTTAGGAGGTGCAGGAACACAGGCGTAGTCAGGGCTGGAGAGGTGGAACGGTCAGGCCGGCCGTAGGGTTCTGTAATGACCGTTTGGTGGTACCTCTAGCGGTCCTCAGGACAGGATTCCCAGGGCGCGGAGTCTAAGTCCCAGTCTGCTTATTCACCAGGGCCCCTGATGGTGGGGATGGACTTGGAGCAGACAGGAACCAGGTCGCGGCCCCTGAGTACACCTGCTAGTGGTAGAGGGATCCGCCAGAGGTATGTGCAGGTAGAAAGCCTGATGTGAAGAGGCAGAAGGTGTGAGCAGGGACGGCTGGATCCGTGCAGGATGGATGGATGGCAGAGTAGTTAGCGTGGTCAGACGGGCCAGATCAGCAACGTGCGGGCAGCAAGGTACCAAAGGAGCAGGCAGAGAATGGTCAGGGTCACAAGCTGGGTTCAGTAACTCACGGGCAGCGCGGTACAGGGGATCAGGCAGAAGGATGGTCAGGCAAGCCAGGGGTTCAACAGGAGACGGTCAGCAGAGGTCAGGATCAAGCAGGGTTAGCAACGAAGCAGGAACACAGGATACCAGGTACAGAGGCTCATGGGAAAACATACACCAAGGCCCAGATCACAGGCCTGGTCATGCCTTAAATACACCTTCTGCAATCAGCCCCAGGTTTGGCTGATTGCAGAAGTGAGCTTCTGACTGCTGAGAGCACCCGCTGGTCAGCCCTGGTACTGCAGCCCACACGGCAGGTGAGTCCCACCACCAGTGCTGAGTCCATTCCTGACACCTCTTCTGTATCATTCAGATGTTCAGTAGCAAACTTCAGATGGGCCTGGACATGTGCTTTCTTGAACAGAGGGACCTGCAGGATTTCAGTTCTTGTCGGCGTAGTGTGTTACCAATTGTTTTCTTTGTGACTGTGGTCCCAGCTGCCTGGAGATCATTGACAAGATTCTGTGAGGGACCGCCGAGCGGCACCACTAGCACTCCACTGGTCAGGCGTGCCCAGAGCGCGGAGTCTAAGCCCCAGGGTACTTGTTCACCAGGGCCCCTGATGGTGGGGATGGACTTGTAGTACCCCGAGACCAGGTTGCCTCTACTGGGCACACCTGTCAGTGGTAGGGGTGTTCGCCAGGGGCTCCAACCAGGGAGAGCCAGATGTGAGGAGGTCGGGTGACCCCGATGGGATGGATGGATGGATGGCTGAGCAAGTGCGTAGTCAGACAGGCCGAGTCGGTAAGGTAGAGGACGGTAAGGTATAAGGGAGCAGGCAGAGAATCGTCGGGTCACACGCCAGGTCAGCAACAGGAGGTCAGATCTAATGAGGGGCATCCAGGGAGAGAGGTCAGGCAAGCAAGGGTCTGGGCAGGAGAAATCAGCAGGTCAATAAACAATCCGGGTCAAAAAACTTACTAGGCACAGGTACAGGATCACAGGAAGCAGGTAAGACCAGAAGGCAAAGAAATGACAGCTCAGGGACCTTTAAATATCCCGCCCTGCGCTGCCATTGGATTATGGGCTGGTTCCCATGAATTGTCCTCCACAGGCCGTAGCCCTTCCACTTGATGAGAAAATTGGGTCTGGCCCCCCCTTCGTCGGCACTTCAAGATTCCCTCCACCTCGAATTCTTCTTCCTCTTCAACCGTTACGGCCTCCGGGGGCCTGGATTCCCATTCCGGGAAGGCATCAGGGGCTACTGGTTTCAACAGGGACACGTGGAAGACAGGGTGGATCTTGAATGTCTCAGGGAGAAACAAGTTCATAGGCCACTTCATTGACCATCCGTTTGATGCAAAAAGGGCCTATAAACTTAGGTCCCAACTTTTTCGACGGGCAGAGCATCTTCAAGTTTGACGTAGCCAGCCAAACCTTCTCTCTTATAGTCTTCTTGGGCTTGACGGATGGCTTCCTGTAGTTTCTTATTGTTGGAGGTGAAGAAGGTCAGTGCATCCTGTGTCGCTGGAATCGGGCATTCCGGGACTAAGTCCGGGAGGAAGACAGGATGAAACCCATAGTTGGCGAAGAGAACGGGGACTGCCCAGTTGCTGAATGGCAAGCGTTGTTGTACGCGAATTTCTGCCAAAGGGAGAGTGGCACCCAGTCGTCCTGAGAGAATGATATGTGTAGCATCGCAGGTATTGCTCGAGGGTCTGATTGGTCCTTTCGGTCTGACCATTGGTCTGAGGGTGAAATGCCGAGGAAAGGGACAGCTTGATATCCAGGGCTTTGCACAACGCCCTCCAAAACCGCGAGGTAAAACTGCAACCCCTCGGTCCGAGACGATGTCTTCGGGAACCCCATGCATGTCTAACGATCTCTCGAATAAAGACTTGCGCCGTCTCGGCTGCTGATGGAGTCTTCCATAAAGGGATGAAATGGGCCATCTTGGATAAGCGGTCCACGACCACGAGAATTGCTGTGTGGTCCAGTGAAGGTGGAAGCTCGACTATGAAGTCCATAGAGATTTTCTGCCAGGGCCGTTCAGGGATGGGCAATGGACGTAGCAGGCCCCACGCCTTATTTCTTGAAGGCTTGTTCCGCTGGCAGATGGCACAGGAGCCCACGTAGTTCTTACAATCCTTGGCCATGTCCGGCCACCAGAAGGAACGTCGGAGAAGTTCCAGGGTCTTGACCGACCCAAAATGTCCTGCCAGTGGATGGTCATGACAATGTCCCAAGACTAAGGTTCGGGCATCCTCCCGGCACCACAATCCGGTCCTCCCTCCATAGGAGTCCCTCCTTGTTCTGGAGGGGGGCCCCATCGGAGTAGACATCGCTGTGGACGCTCTCAGGATCTTGGGAGCGAAGGTTCGTCTGGAGGGCCAAGAAATTTCCTGCAGGAAGAATAGTGTCGGGTATGGGATCTCCTTGGTGTCCTCGTACATGCGCGACAACGCGTCAGGCTTCGTGTTTTTCGAGCCGGCCTGTATGTGATGTGGAACTGGAACCTCGAGAAAAACAATGCCCACCTTGCTTGTCGTGGGCGTAGACGTTTGGCCGTCCTCAGATATTCCAGGTTCTTGTGGTCCGTGAATATCAGGATGGGATGGGAGGCACCTTCCAGCAGGTACCTCCATTCTTCTAAAGCGGTTTTTTGATAGCCAGTAGTTCGCGATCCCCAATGTCGTAGTTCCTCTCACGCAGGGGTAAGTTTCCGTGAGAAGAATGCTACTGGGTGAAGTAATTCCTTGGCGCCCTTCCGCTGGGAAAGGATGGAGCCAACCGCGTTTTCTGATGCATCTACTTCTAAGATGTAGGGCAGGGAGGCGTCGGGATGACCTAGAATGGGTGCCGAGGTAAATAACCTTTTTTAGTGCTTCAAAAGCTTCCTGTGCCTCGGGCGTCCATCTGAATCGCGTCCCAAGCTTAGTTAACTGAGTGATGGGGGAGACCAGACCCGAGAAGTTCTTGATGAACTTCCGGTAGAAATTTGCGAACCCAATAAAACGTTGGACGCTTTTCCTGTCCGTGGGTTCAGGCCAATCTAGGATCGCAGAGACCTTCTGAGGGTCCATTGCGACCCCCGTGGTGGAGATAATCAGACCCAGAAATGTAACGCTAGCCTGTTCAAAGCAGCATTTCTCTGCTTTAGCGTACAACCCGTGCTGCCGCAACCGCCCCAACACCTTTGTTACATGTACCCTGTGCTCCCCCCACCCAGGAGATGAGAAAATCAAAATGTCGTCTAAGTAGACGATGACAAAGATGTCCAGGAAGTCCCTAAAGATGTCGTTTACAAAGTGCTGGAAGGTGGCTGGCGCATTGCACAACCCGAAAGGCATGACCAGGTATTCAAAATGGCCGAAACGGGTGCGGAAGGCCGTCTTCCACTCATCCCCCTCCCTTATGCGAACCAAATTGTAGGCTCCCCTTAAGTCCAGTTTGGTAAATACTACTGCAGTTTTTAAGTTCTGGAATAATTCAGGTACCCGTGGTAACGGGTAACGATTTTTAATGGTGACCCTATTCAGCTCCCGATAGTCAATACATGGCCTCAAAGTCTTGTCCGTTTTTCTACAAAGAAGATCCCTGCACCTGCTGGGGATGTGGAGGGACGGATGAATCCCTTTCGGAGGCTGTCCTCAATATAGTCCTTCAGGCCCCTAATTCTAGCTCAGAAAAGGGGAAAAATTCGCCCGAACTGAATTTCAGAACCGGGCAACAGATCAATAGGACAGTCATATGGGCGGATGGGGGGGTAGAGCAGTGACTGCTCCCCGTTCACTGAACACATCAAGAAACTTATGATAGGCTGCAGGAATCACTTGTTTTAGACTGTCATCCCCTTCAGAGCACAGGAGGATCGATCATAAGTTAATCCATCCCCTTCAGAGCACAAGAGAGACCTGGGGGGACCTCCGGCCCGAAGTTCGACACAGTTCCCGACAATATGGGGAAGGGAACGAGACAACCCCAGTTTTTCCCAGTCAATTTGGGGGTTATGGGCCCGCAACCAAGGGACCCCAGAATGACTGGGAAAAGGGGTGATGCAATAGCATCCAGGCGGAGGAGTTCCCGTGCTGACCGCAATGGAAGTCACAATGGAAGGGGTCTCCTGGTTAACTACTCCTGACTTTATCCGGGAACCATCAGCCAAAAAGATGTGAAACCCCTTCTTCCTTGGGCGGAGGGGGATACCCTGCTGGTGAGACAAAATTGATATCCACAAAACAGCTGCATGCCCCCGAATCAACTATGGCCGTCACCTCCACGGTCCTTTCTGAAAGCTGAAAGGAGAGGGGAACAACTAAGTACTGGGGATCGGATTCATATTGCCAACAGATAAAGAAGATGAGGTGAACTTACTCCGTTTCTGCGGGCAGAGAACGCACCATGTGACCAGCTTCGCCGCAGTACAGACACAGATTCTGGGAGCGTCTGCGCTGGCGTTCCTCAGGCGATAGTTTAGGCCGTGCCAGGCCTAGCTGCATGGGTTCGGGAGCATCTTCAAACGGCAGGTTCTGGATGCTTGGCCTAGTATGTTGACCGGATCCCTGAAAAGACCCCCAGGGATTTCCGCGACCCTGACCAGACCTCTCCAATCTGCGCTCCCGTAGCCTACGGTCAATTTTAATGGTGAGTGCAATCAAGTCCTCTAATGTCTCGGGCACCTCCACCCGGGCGAGCTCGTCTTTCAGAGCCTCAGAAAGGCCCATACGAAACTGGTGCAAAAGTGCGAACTCGTTCCAACGAGTGTCACCCATCCAGCGCCTAAAGTCAGAGGCGTATTCCTCAGCCGCCCGCCGACCTTGTCGGAGTGTGTATA